GGATTAGTCTTGACATATAGTGTGAGTTAGGATCTTGTTTTATATTCCTGCAAATGGTTATCCTAACTCATTAGAACCATTCGTTGGGCTATTAGAGCTGTAGCTTTTAATACTCATCTAAAATTTAATGGACATCAACCCTATGGAAAAAAAGCAAAACACTATACCCAAAAACCAAACCATCAATGCCTTTATTTTTAGACTCTCAATTCTGTTCCATTTGTCTATAGTCCCTTCATAACGTCAATACAAGGCTATTTTGAATCTTGGGGCTGTATAGAATGCCCCGCGTCTAGGAAGTGGGAAGTATGAGGCCTGTTAAGTTGTTGTTCTTCATTAATGTTTTATGTATCTTCAGCCTCACTTTTTCACTCCTTTTGGTTGAGAAACAATTTTCATAATAATTTATTCTACATATCAGACACTTTTGCATACATAAAGAGAATCATTCCTCGAGAATAAACGGAATTGTCTGAACTGCTAATCATGATAGTTCATTGTCTACGTCTTTATCCAGCATTACCTGTGAAGTGTTCAGTGTGCATACGCATTCTTATTCTACCTGCGTTTAATTTTTTCCTCCAGAGTTTTTCCATGGCACTTTTCATCTCAGAATTTCTCAGGGTGTATATTAGAGGGTTCAACATGGGAGTGATAACTGTATAAACCACAGTCACCGATTTGTCAATGGGAAAGTTAGAAACTGGTCTAACGTACATGAAAATACAGGGGACAAAAAATAAGACGACCACCGTGATATGTGAGCTGCAGGTAGACAAGGCTTTGCGTCTTCCTTCCTGGCTGTGAGTCTTCAGAGATCGTAAGATGACCCCATATGACACCAGCAGAAGGATAAAGATCACCATGCAGATGGCTCCGCCGTTGGCAACCACAGTGAGACCTATGAAATAAGTGTCAGTGCAAGCCAGTTCGAGTAATGGGTACATGTCACAGATGAAGTGATTAATGACATTGGGACCACAATAAGGGAGATTGTACACAAAGACAAGTTGAACCACTGAGTGCAAAAAACCTCCAACCCAAGCCACCGCCAGCAACAGAATGCAGACCTGCCGTTTCATGATATTCAAGTAATGTAACGGTTTGCAGATGGCCACATAGCGATCATAAGCCATTGCTACCAGAAGAAAGACTTCAGCGCCACCAAAAAAGTGTTCTATAAAGAGCTGGCCCATGCAAGTTGAGAACGAAATAGTCTTTTTATCACAGAGTAGGTCTGTAATCAATTTGGGAGAAATGGCAGTGGAATAAACAGCATCCATAAGTGATAAATAGGTAAGGAAGAAGTACATGGGAGAGCCCAGAGAGGGGCTCACAACAACAGTTATGACAATGAGGAGGTTGCCTACCATTGTCACAATGTAGATCAACAGAAACATGACGAATAATGCTTTCTGGCCCTCTGGATCACGTGTGAGTCCCAGAAGAATGAATTCTGTTACATTGTTAGTCTGTCCCATTTACTCTTTGCTAATCCTGCTTTAGAGACGAACACTCAGAATAGCAAGACCTGCAATTAAATGATAAAATTACAATAGTTGACTCTTTCTTTTCTAAATTTTTATTATTACTAATAATTTTAATGAAAGTTTACGAAGTTTTCAATTTCCATTCACTCATTGTTATACTTCTCTCCCTGCCCACCCCTCCCTCTAGTTCACTCTTCTCTTTGAAAAGTAAAAGAAAAATTCTTTCATTGTTGTATTATCCCTCCCACCAAGTCCAATCCACTATGCAGCCTTCATTCTGGACTCCTATCATGAAAATAATAACTAATATCCCTTTTAAACAGTTCTCTCTCTCATCTGCTTCAATGAAGTATACATAATTTATCCCATCTTTCTCAGTCTCCCCTCCAACCCCAATGTCAATCCCGTTTAACAACAGTGGCACTATGCAGTATTTGTCCTTTTGTGTCTGAGATATTTCACTCAGCATAATTTCCTCCAGGGTCACCCATTTTGGATAGTTGCTTCTCTTATGTCATGGAACACTTATCATTATAATAACAATCTCCTTCAGAGGTTATCCATAATAAACATTTAGAAACACCTGCTAACTTCACTCTCCCAAAGATTCTCCTCTGTCATCTCTTAACTATTATACATCTTCTCAGATGAATGTATTGTTTTACAAATAAAATGTTCTATATTTACATTTTAGATGCTCTTCTGAGAAGAGTATGCAGAGATTTATCAGGAAATCATTCGATTAATAATCTTTGAAAAAATCTGACAATACTTACAGCAGAAACCAGTAATGACCGAGTGAAGAGGAATTCTCCTCTTAAGAAATGTACTGTCTAGTGGAGGAGATATGGTTTAAATCTAACATGCATTAAGATAGTGTTTTTTTGTCGTACTTTTACATGATTTGAAAAGAGTAAGGGGATATCACCTGCGTTAAAATACGGAAAGGTATGAATCAGGGTTAGATCTTTTTCTCTCATACATATTCAATCTCTGTGATCAAATATTTGGTAGAGCAAATGAATATTTTGTAAAGTATATAGCTCAGGAATTGGAGTACTACTTATCAACAATCTGATATACAGATGACACAACCTTGCTTACAGAAAGTGAGGAAAACTTTAAGCACTTAGTGAAGAATATCCAAAGCTGTAGTCTTAATTATTGATTACACCTCAAGAAAAAAGAAACAAAAAGGCGCCCAACTGGATCAATAGGCAACAACATCAATGGGTGAACTTATCAAGGATTTTATTTTCCCACAGTAGCAGCAGTCGAGAAATCAAAATACCTATTGCATTAGGCAAGTCAAGGTCAAGGACCTTTTTAAAGCACAAAGTAGTAGCAAAAAGAGTAGCTGAAACACAAGATGTGCCTGGCACAAGTGATGGTATTTTCAATTACTTCTTAGCATGTGAATATTGGTAAATGAATAAGGAAGCTCTATTAAGAATGGATGCTTTTGAACTTTGCTGTTGTACTGAACACACTATGCTATGGACTGTCCAACGAATAAACACATCTATGTTGAAGCTAAATTGAAGCCTGCTTGGATCCACAATTAACTCTTTTGGCACTAGCAGTCAGGAAATCAAAACGTGAATTGTATTAGATAAATCTGCTCTCAGAAACCTTTCCATAGTACTGAGAATCAGCAATGTCTGTCTAGAGACTAATGTGTGCCTGAAATAGTCCATGGTCTTCACAATTACTTGTGCAACAGAGAGCTGGATAAATGGTGGTGCTGGAGAAGAGTTTTGAACATACCACTGACCCCCAAGAAAACAAAGAGATCTGTCTTGGAGAGGATGACACCAAGTTTCTCCTTGGAGGCTAGAATGTTGAAGCTCCAACTCACATACTTTGGGCATGTGGCCAGGGGAGACTGAACCTTGAAGGACATCATGCTCCAAAGGGTGGAGGGACAGTGCAGGTGGGGAAGACACCAGATGAGATGGATTGATACAGTAACTAGGGCAATGGGTATAGGTGTGTTAGAGTCAGTGAAACTGGCTCAGAACAGGCCAGGCTTCAGAGTTATTGTACATAGGGTTGCTATGAGTCAGAGGCAACTTGACTGCACAATATAACAACAACATGTTGGAGGAAATGTAACCAGAGTGCTCACTGGAGACAAGGATTGTGAAATTTCACCTCACATACTTTGGAATTTTGTCAGCAGATTCCATTATTTGGAAAAAATATAAAGCTGGGAAAATTACAAGGTTAGCTAAAGACGGGAAGGGCCTCAAGAAGATAGATTTGCACAGTGGCTATAGCAATGGACTTCAGCATGGCAGAAACCATAGCACAGCACAGGGTTGGGCAAGGTTTTGTAATCAATTTAACAACAGCTAAGAATAACAGCAACAACGTTTATAATACAGAGTAACAAAAACCCCTCTTTTGAGGAATATTTCACTAAACATATATTACACTATTAGAAGCTTAATCTTTCATGTCTCCAAAGTTGTTTAGCTTTTGTGAATCTCACATTAAATTTGTAGAGACTAGACTTTGGAATGTACAAGAAAATACAAATTAATTAGCATATTATTTCCTCTAGTAATTATTTGAGTGTGCACTTTCTGTTAACTTTATGAAGGGCCATAATTCTTTCTAATTCTTTTTTTTTTTTGCCTATCCTATGACATTTAACGTTTTCAAAGTCTATCGGCTTATTAACTTAACTTGGCAGTATCTGTGGTGAAGATCTTTACAATATAATAATGGATTTTTATGAAATATTTTTAATCTTATTTATTTACTTACTCATAGCAATTACCAACTAGTATGTTCTCAACTCTTGGCACCAGCAGCCAGGAAATAAAAAAACATATTGCAATGGGAAAGTCTGCTGTTAGGGACCTCTCTAAAGCACTCAAGAGCAATGGTGTGTCTCTGGAGACTAAGGTGCATCTGATACAGGCCATGGTCTTTGTAATCACTTGTTCCGCATCAGAGAGTTGGACAATGACTAGGGAGGATAGAAGGAGAATTGATGCCTTTGAGCTGTGGTACCGGAGAAGAGTATTGAATGTACCATGGACTGACAAGAAAACAAACAGATTCATCCTGGAGAGGGTTAAACCAGGCTACTCTTTGGAGGCAAATTTTCTGGGGCTTCATCTGACATACTTTGGACTTGTTGTAAGGAGGAACAGGTCCTTGGAGAGGGACAACATACTTGGGAGGGTGAAGGGACAGTGCAGGAGGGGAAGACCCTCTATGAGGTGGATTGATTCAGTGACTGGGGTAATCGGGATGGGTGTGTCAGAGGCAATGCGATTGGCACAGGATAGAGCAGGGTTTAGGGCTGTTGTAATAGGGTCGCTATGAGACACAAGCGACTTGACAGCACATAACAACAACAACATGTTCTCAACTCATTGTCATAAAGTTAGAATTGACTCATAGCTGACACTCCAACAGGTGTTCAGAGACTATAAATTGCACAGGAAGAGATTACCTATCTTTTTCCCACGGAACAGCTTATGATTTTAAACTTCCTTTCTTTGGTTGACAGTTCAATTCCTTACCCACTTCATCACCAGAGATTCAAGTAGCATAACAGGAGCGTTGTTGTTGTGGTTGTTGTTGTTAGATGCCATGAAGTCAAGTACAACTCATAGTAACGCGGGGAACCACAAACTTGAACCCTGTCCAATCATTTGTCTTTCTCATCATCTCTGACACACTTGAGCCCATTGCTGAAGTCACTGTGTCAATCCATTTCATTGGGATCTTCTTCTCTTTGATTGATCCTCCATCTTTTCAAGCATAATGTCCCTTTCCAAGGAATAATCTCCTCTAGCAATATGTTCAAAGTATGAGAGATGAAGCTTCTCCAGCTTAGCTGGCCAGAATCACTCTGGTTACATTTTTCCCAAGACTTTTTTTAGTTCTTTTTGTTAGTCTATGAGTTATTCAACACTCTTTTCTGCTAGTATTTTTTCAAAACTCTTAAGTGTATCTAGAAATGAGGAGGAAGGAAGTAGATGTTGTAAAGTGATATAGAGGACAATGGAACGTGGTTTTGTATAGAATTCTTTCTAGGTACCTTCAATGTGGATGCTTGACACACTCACTGCAACAGGGAGCTTTCCTAACAGGTTTGTGAGGACAGTGCAAGATCTGTTGAGATTTCTTTCCGTTGTATCCAGGCTTGCTAAGAATCAGCACTGACTTGAAGGCACCTTATGACCTAACAAGCCCTTAGAGGACTTAACACTGGAACTTTCAATGTCAGCACTAAAAAAAAAATAAATAAAAAATAAGTATACGCTAGAGAAAACTGCAAAATCAGAGTAAGAAAGTATGACTTTTATTCATTTGCTAAATTTATTCCCTAGACTCTCTCCATTTACTCATTGGAAAACAACAACAAAAAAATTGGAATATATGATCCCAGAATCCTTTTCAGTGCTTCTGTCTATAATGCAATCAGTGAAACTTCACATTATTTTGGTCTGCAAAGTGTTTCTATTACTATATTTGCAATTAAACAACAATTTCCATGCTAATTTTTCCCTTAAAAAGGTTATCTAAGGCTGAGATTTTATTATCACAGTAAATCAACTGAGAATTCTTTCTTAGTGTACACTTTCTTTAAGATCCAGGACATTCTGGAAGAGAGAACAACACAAAGATGAATAATGTATGCCCTGAAGCAAAATAGTCTTTGAATTTAATCTTTACTACTCACTATATATTTAATGTTGGGCAACTTAATTAACTTCCCTTTATCTCAGTTTTATAATTTATCAATTTGGTATGCTAATTTTGTCTAACTTAAATTTCTTTAAATGTTTTTAACATACAAAGTGGCTAGAACACTTTGGCATAGAAAAAAACCAACCAGTGATTGACAGTTATTATTGCGATTGAATATTTTATTATGAGTATTGGATAAGAACAAATAGCCTGGATCTTTGGAATTATGTAATACTATTTTACTTGTAAAATAGTATTACCTATAATATAAGGAAACT